CACAGGGAACATCATCCCCGGCCCTTCCTCAGCATCCCCAGCACAGGAACCAGCTCCAAATGTAAACCTGCATCTGGGAAGTGCTTCCTCACACCCTCACCCTCATCATTCCCTGGAGCTTCAGGCACTGCCCTGTGCCTATGGCTCCCCACAAGCCCGTGCAGCACAACCCGCACCACTCAGTGTCACTATTTAATCCCTCTAAGCGGCTCATCCCGGGTTAAGCACCCGCAGCCATTCCCATCCCTGGGCAGAGGGAAGTGGCTTTTACCACCCGCTGCTCCTGCTGACATTTGATTGTTCCAACACAGCCCAGGGAAAACAAAAAGCCACAGTGGAATATTGAGGCATTTAATAGGATCCAGCCAAGCGCTGGGAAGGCTTGGGATAGAGACGGGATTGCAATCAAAAGGCCTCTTTATGATCAAATTAAGGGGATTGTATTCCCCACTCGAGAGGTGCCATTTGGATTTGCTTCTTGTTTTCCCCTCCCAGTAATGGGCTGTGTAGAAGTAAGACTTCACAGATGCTTCCTGGCTGGAATACTGGGTACTGGAGTGCTGGGGGGGGAGCAGGATGGGGTCCCTCATGGCACTGCCATGGGATGAGCAGCCCCAAGCCCTGGCAGCATCCTCAGCCTCAAGAGGCCACAAGCCCCTTCCTGAGCATCCTCAAAGCCCCTTTTCACCCCCAGAAAGGTTCAGACAAGGCCTCACTCACAAACAGGCACGTTGGGCCCAGGGAACGTGTCTGTGCCCCATTTACATCTCCCAGCGCAGGTAAAGGAGCTGCCCACCAGAAAATGCTTTTAGTTGAGCCTTGCTTTGGAGGGAAAACCAAACCAAACCAAACCAACAACAGAGACACCTCATCTTCACCACCACCAGGAGCACAACCTGGTACCAGCCCACACCACGAGCAAGAGCAAAACCTCAAGTGCTTGAGGCCAGGCCAATACTCTCATTTCTTCCCACACCAGAACACATCACCTTGCTGTGATGTATTCACAGCACAAGGAGCCACCAGCTCCTGGTCCAAAGGTCTGACGGCACCTCAAAAGAAGCAGTAACTCCTCTGCCCCACGGATGGATGCAGGAGACACACAGGACCCATCTGTCCTGGTGGGTGCAGACAGACACCTGCACTGACCACAGAGAGGGTGGTTATTACCATGGCACAAGATGCTCCATCCTGTTCACCTTACAGCTCCCCAGCAAGCTGCTGAGAGACAAATTGAGCACAGAGAGCTCTTAGAATATTGACTGTCCTAAAGACCTGAGTTCCAACATTTGCACTTCACCCTTGCAAACCTCCACCTCAGTTAATAGGCTGAGACATGGAGCACTTGGCATTTAAACAGCTCCTGCTGGGCTTGGGAGAGATTAGGCAAGTACAGAAGAGGGTATTTAGCATTCAGGAGGTGCAAGGCACGGGAGTTATCAGTCATTCCAGGCAATGTATCTCCTTGCACCACAAACTGAGCAGCAAACATTGCAATCCATCACCAAGACAACAGATCTCAATCCACTTCTACTTTCAATTCACACGTTTTTAACTAAGTGCTAAGTAATTGAAAGTGGGGGTTTCCACCCAAGCAGCTGAGAAATGGGCCGGAAGCAAAATCATCCCTGGCCAAGTCAAACGTGGCATCCCGGTTGTGTCTACAGCCACGGAGGAACCAGCTGCCCACTGAGCACCTTCTGCATCAAGGTGGGAAGCATCGCTCCAGGCATGGGGTGGCTGAGGCAGAAGTGACCTCACAATCCCAATTTTGGGAGGGAATTTTGACTGGAATTTCATATTTTTAGCTGACAACAGGAATTCAGAGCAGTGCGCTTCTTGCATGTTAGAGGCAACCCCAGCCTCTCGTCTTTGTTAGGGTGTTTTTTAGTGACCAGTCAGTTATAAATTGGTATTTAACAAATATCACAGAAACTCGAAGTAAGGTCAGTTCAGGAGAAATCACAGAATGGGATTCTATGGTGGGACCTTAGAGCTCCTCCAGCTCCAACCCCTGCCACGGGCAGGGACACCTTCCACTAGAGCAGGTTGCTCCAAGCCCCTGTGTCCAACCTGGCCTTGAACACTGCCAGGGATGGGGCAGCCACAGCTTCTCTGGGCACCCTGTGCCAGCGCCTCAGCACCATCACAGGGAAGAGCTTCTGCCTCAGAGCTCATCTCAGTCTCCCCTCTGGCAGGTTCAAGCCATTCCCCTTGTCCTGTCCCTACAGGCCCTTGTCCAAAGCCCCTCTCCAGGTTTCTTGTAGGCACCTCAAGTCACCAAACTCTTAACTCTTGAAAAAACACGTTTTCCATCTTAATTACAATAAACCCCTTCTTGGATACCTTAAAAGAAGACATCTCCAGCCCACTAAGACAGCAGCTCGTGGGGGCTCACCTGCGACCACGTGTAGGGCAGAAGGCACCAATGGGAAGAACGAAGACGCCCCGTGTCTGTCTTAAGATAAAAAAGTTTATTTTACAGTCTTATAAAGCAGCTTTACATGAAGCACAAACAAACGTTGAGCCATTTACTTTGTATATAAACATAGTAGAACCTTTCCCACTGCAAAAAGTCATGTCTGGCTGTATATAAAACTAACGTGTGCACATTGTGCTTAAACTGCAAAGTCTGTACAGCTTTACAAAGGACTACCCTTCACAAGAGCATCCTGTAAACAATTTATTGCATATTTAACACATGGTGGATACCCCACATGTAAAAAATAAAAGGTAGAAAAAATAAAGGACAATTACAAGGTGAATGAAAATAGCAGCTTTCAGTGAATGTCTTGCACAATGAGGAAAAGAGCACTGCCACACTTGTACACTTGTGCTTGTGTGTCACTGGGCTGCACTACCCACGTGCACCACGCTTCCAATGAAGTCTATGTACAGTAAACCCCAGGGAAAGACTAAACAGGGCTCAGTCCCCAAGAGCTTCGTCAGTTTGAAGACTGAAAACAAACAAAATAACCCCAAACTTAAGTGAATTTCATGAAATTATGGGCACCAATGTCCAACAATCCTCTTCCACCACGTAACTGAATTGAAAGGAATAACAGGAGAAACCCCACGCTACCTCTCTTCGGTGCTACAACCTCTGATGGTGGTTGCTTTGAGATAGACGAGTGCTAAGGCCAACAAAACCACCATGGAGGTGTTGAGGATAAGGTGGTTTGACAACAGGATGGTGCTGGCACGGCCAACCCATGCTTCTGAGCTCACCCATCCAGCAGTGGCCGGGCTGAACCACACCGTAAGAGCAGCGACGCTGCGATTTTCCCCCTCGTATTCACTAACAAAACAGAAAGAGGGAATGATGGCCTCCATAAGGCACCAAAACCATCTCTTGAGCAGTACCCAAAGAGTCTCACTAGATCCTCCAAAGCCAAAACGGGCAAAAGATGGAGGAAACGTGCAGGAGAAAGATGTTTGTGTTTGTAAAGGAAGCACATTCCGGGGTTTGTGTGTGTGTGCGTGTGTATGTATTCACATGGACGTAAAAAATTCACCTCTGCTACCTTTGGTATTGACATTTCTCCTGTGACATCCACTTCTCAAATGAACTGACACGATCACAGCATGCATTTGCAAAGCTCAAGTAATGAAACAGTTGTGTCTGCGAGAAACAGAGAAAGCATCAAAAAACAAAGAAAAAGCAATCAAGATGCATATTGTCCTTGTGCCCAGCCTTCTTGTGATGTGAATGAACTTCATCCTCAGCATGAACATCCTAAGCTTAACCCCCACCTACATGTACAACATGTAATAGGATCAACCAGGACACTACCCACCGAGAAGGCAGAGAAGTGGTGGGTGTAAAGGGCTGATAACCAGGATAAAGAAACCTCCTGGTTTCTTCTGCATTGCCACAGGATGGTGGAAGCATTTGGGTTTGGATGCACGTGTCGGGTTATTGCACGGGTCCCCTTGCTCGCCTGGCAGAGCTGCAAAGACAAAGCACACCCCAAAGCCACTGCAGAGGTGAAACTTGGTATTAAAGCACAAGTGGAGCTGGAAAGCCCTCTGGGGTGATTGTCATTCTTAAAATGCTTGATTTTTAGCCTCAAGCAGGTTAAAAACGAAAACCACCATAGGAAAACCTTAGTTCATTCCAACTGAGCTTCCTGCACACTACTCAGTGAGCTCCACATCACACTCAGCAATTCAAGTCTCCCAAAGAATGAAGTTGCCAAAGCTTAGAGGAACCTCTCAGATGTAATTAAAAACCACAGTACAAAACGTGGGGCACCACGATGAGAGATCCCAGGTACCCAGGAGGAGGTGACACCAGCAAACCTGATGGGTGATGGTGAATTTGGCTTTACAAAAGGGGGTGGCGTGGTTGCAGGCTTTGTGCAGTCCCACCGGGTTGTGCTTATGTGATGGGACTCTAAAGCCTGGCACGCTGGTTGAGTGACTGCTGTCCCCACGTCTGTGAGGAAACCATACAGCTACAGGACCTCCACACAGAGAACTGGGGGGAAAAACATCGTAACGTGTATTTTCACCCCAAGAATAGAATCTGCATTAAAAAAACACCTTTAAAAAGAGACACTGACCACCACCCAGGCTATAAGTAAATACACATCGACGGCGTTACACCACATGGTCTGCTCCAACAAAGACACAGGTTACTCCATTTTAGGAGGCCATGGACTAAACTCTTCAGGCAAGCGCTGGACTTCAGAGACCTATATGGCTTCTGCAAACGTATTCCTAGAAAAAGGAACAAAAAACCCCAACCAAAACCCATCCCCAAACTCAGGAGCACAAAAGGGCTTTGCTTCGTACAGATGGTTTTGCTGTGGAGCACTAAGGACAGGCTGAAGCTTCCGAATCCATCAGACCCAAATGTTTTCACACTGGAATGCAATGATTTCCCGAGATCAGTTTTAAGGATCACTTCTTTGAAACGGTCCATAAAAAAATCAAGACGCCACCTTGGACACTGCATCTCCGCGAGGCAGCAGGACCCAGGGGTTTGGTTGTGAGCTCTAGTTGTGCTTTGCCCGGCCGCCTCGCAGGTAGCTCTTCCACCTCTTGACGAACTCCTTGAAGATGGGGGACTCGTCGATGGTGCTGAGGAGCTGGAGCTGGTTGATGTGGGTGGTGTGATAGTCCCAGCGGGCCAGGTTGGGAGCGGTGCCGAGCATGAAGTGCCGAAGGTCATAGATGGTCCCTGAGCCGGTGTCGTAGAGGGGAAGCATGGCCTTGAGGGACTCCATGCCCCGCTCGTAGAGGACCCGCGCCTCCTTCCCCAGCTTCTCCCCGGCCGTTTCTTTCAAGTCATAGAGCCCGATTAAGGAGTACATGAAGCCGTTGAGCACGAAGGAGCTGGGGGAGGTCGGGTACTCCTCGTACCAGTCGTGCCGGTTCATGAAGACGGCTTTGACCCCGCGCTGCTCCGATGGCAGCTTGTACGGCGCCGTGGCCCGCAGAGCCGAGCTGAGGAACGCGTGGTCCTTCGTCAGCAGGTACGCCCGCACCAGCGTCGAGATGGCCTGTCCTTGTGCCAGCCGTTGAGCACGAAGGAGCTGGGGGAGGTCGGGTACTCCTCGTACCAGTCGTGCCGGTTCATGAAGACGGCTTTGACCCCGCGCTGCTCCGATGGCAGCTTGTACGGCGCCGTGGCCCGCAGAGCCGAGCTGAGGAACGCGTGGTCCTTCGTCAGCAGGTACGCCCGCACCAGCGTCGAGATGGCCTGTCCTTGTGCCATAGCCGAGTACCAGCCCGGGTCCAAGGACTTAAAGCCTTCCCCCAGCTTCCTCGTCACCATGATGGGCCAGCCGCCCCTCTCGTCCTGGTTCCTCACCAGCCAGTTACTGGCAGCAAAAAAAGCCGCCATGTGAGCAGTGGCCGAGATGGTGACGTTGTCGAGGAAGCCTCTTCCCTTTGCCACCAGCCTCACCACTCTCTTGGGCATGATTTTGGTCTGCTTCACAGCTTTTGTGTTGGAGAGCCCGACGCCCTTCCGCAGGTCAGTCACCAGGTCTCTGGTCAGGGTGCTCCAGCCAGTCCTGGGGCCGATGCCGTAGTAGATGTCTCGGTCCTTAAAAGCGATGAGCTGGTTGTTGGAGACGTAGTGCACAGTGAAGAGCTGGTTCTTCTCTGTCGTCTCGAGAACCACGGAAACGCTCCCGTTTGTGATGAATTTGAGATCAAAGGAAATGATAAAATCTCGGGTGTTCCCAAGCTGCAGAGATACCCCTTCGGTATTGTCTGCAAAACAAACCAGGAGAGCCTTGTTCAGTGCTACAGCACTCATTTCTCCAAAGCATTTAAGCTCTGAAGTGCAGCTTCCAGAGGCAACCCCTCTTACCAGGCAGGATCCAAAAGCTTTTAGGGCAGCCCATCAATAATTTAATCATGCTTTCTGTGCACCATCATATATTATTTAATTAAGCATAAAGTGAATCCATGAGCAAAGGCCAACTCGTTTGCATCTTACATTAACGCGCTGTAGCACTTGGCTGTGGAGCAGAAGTGCCGAGGGCTCCGTCGATGGCTTTAGCAGATGCTTCTGGTACCTGATTGATGGAGGAGTGTAAAGGACACGAGAAGATACAGGGTAAGGGAAATGGGGGGGTCTCACTGCTGCCTGCAGCTGGCAGGACACAGGACAGGCAAAGCCAGACTTATGGGGCACATCAGTGCGACTTTCTTCTTTCCAAACCTGACAGTCCCATAAACTGATTAGTTTAATGGCAAGGAAAAAGAAAAGAATATAGGAAGACCAATGTTAAAGTATTTATTAACCTCTCCGTTGGCAAAACTCAATTTAATTTAAAAATATATAAATCTAGATAAAGCTCCCAGGCAATGCCACAGAATAAAACCCAGTGTTCTCTCACAGGCTAGATTTTAGAATGGAAAATCAACTTCTCCACCCCCAAACCCTTATACTTGGAGATCAAAGGGCTAATTAGTTTGTAAGGCTGTGCAAATCCTGTAGCTTTGAAGGCACAGAGGGATGATGAACACTTAAAGACAGGCATCTTCATTTAACAGCTTTCCATAGGATGAAACTCTCCCACGCAAAGCAATTGTTTCCCTTCTGTACAGCACCTATTATTTTGACCCAAAGTCATATTTTCCAATCTTTTAAAGCAAAAGCTTCATTCCTTTGAGTTCTGGAGATCAGCATCTGCTTTGGGAGGAGAAACCAAGCGCTTTGCTACGCAACATTGTGCTCCTATGAAAAATCTAATTAAAACAACCCCCACTCACAATTCCTGTCAAGTAAGTTTCATGGTTCCCTGTAAATAAATGCTTGGGTGATAACGAAGGGAATAATAATAGAGAGGAGGGAAAAAAAAACAGAGTTTTAAGCAGTGAAGGAGAATGAAAGGCTGCCTGTTGTTTGCACTGCCTTGAGCACCTGCAAATCCCTTACTTAAGGCCATCTAAGATGAGTGGATGCAGACCATGGCCTTCCAGCCCTGCAGATTACTCTGCCATCAATAAAGGATGAGGAGAGAATACATAAGAGATCTTTTAGCCTTCCCTCTCCCCGTATTTATCTACTACAAAGACACGAGAGTGTTCAACTTTTTCCTGGAGACCCAGGCCTAAGGTGCCAACTGAAAATTACTTCATTGTCTTTTTAAGTAATGGACTCATTAATTCTAATGTGTATTGATTGAGGAAAAATACAGTCCGTGCTTATTAATAAGCCTCTCCTAGCACAAAGGAAACTTGCATGAAAGAGTGAATTTCCCTGCTAAGTATGAAACGGAACACGGTGAATGGGAGAGATGGTAACACAACACATCTCGCACGGCTGCAAGGGATGGAGAGCGCCTGTGTTCAGCCCCACATCATCCCCGTTCCTCCCCAGCCCTCTGCAAATACCTACACAGCATGAGGGCAGCTGCAACTTCTTGTTGCCTTGTTTAGTGCAACTTGGGTTAAGCAGATCCAAGACCTCACATTCTGCAATATTAGTTGCATCCCAATGAAGAGAGTGATGCCAGGTCCGACTGGAATCCTGCACGTGCTGTGCTGGCTCCAGGCTGAAAATAGACCTTATCTATCCTCTGTCAACATCTGCTTATCACACGTCAGTGCTATTTCCCAGGCTGCACAACTGGTTCCTTTTTTTCTACTTATTTTGTTGCTTCTATTTTGAGGCAGGAGCTGAAAGGCTCAGGAAACGTGACTGCAGCTTCTCACTGCCCTCCCTGTGTGCATCCACCCAGTGGTTCATTAAAGTAGTGTTGGAAAAGCACCGATGGGGAGGAAAGAGAAGAAGAGACAAACTCCAGAGGTACAGAAACGAGGTGACATTCTCAGGTGAGCTCTCCAGGATGTGGAGTCACGTAGGGTAAATGAACACACATGAATCCCAGCCAGCTAAAGCTCCCCATGTACCATCTGTGCAAACTAAAGGCTTTGCTGACACATTGAGGACAACCCACCTGGAGCGATGAACTGCTTGACACTGGTGAACTTGGCTCTGTCAGACACTGTGGACAGGGAGCAGCCTTTGGGCACTGTCCACTCCGCAGACCTGCCAGCTCTGTCCTTCTCTTCAGCTGTTTCATACACCTCCACGTGAGGGGGTTTCTCTGTCAGGTTCTTACTGTAGTGACTCAACCCGTACTGTGCAATCTGGATGGGGTAGAAATAGCCTTGAGGGCCCCACTGCGTGGATAATGGCACACCTACAAGAGTTGGAAAACGAGGATGTTATCAGGAGGCTTTCAAAGAACAGCGTTCCCTGCTCTGCACACTCCTCCTCCACAGCCCATCGCTCCTTTGCTCCCAGCAAGCGGCATTCCCGGGCTTCACCGTTAACTGGGCTCAAGGAAAGCCCTGTTCAAGGGGTGAACGGCTCCCTGATTAAAACGAAGCAGGTTTGAGTGGCAGAGCAGTCCTTATCGTGGTCTCCCATACATTCTCATTTACTGAAGCATCATGCTCAGTTTAAAATACATTTAAAATGCCCTAACAGACTTTTTTCCCCATACCCCAGGGACTACTAAATCTCCAAACAATGTTACATCCAACACAATCCCTTTAACGCCACATAAATCTTTGCAAATCAAGTGCATGTGCTATTACTGGATTTAGGGAAATTATTTGATGCTAAAGGAGCAATTCACCCCGCATCCACAAATCTGCTCCAATTACCTTGGCTCCCACAAGAGTACTACAAGTGTAGTCTGGAACAATGCCTGCAGAAACCAGCCAGGCTCTCTACCCCAATACCAGCACAAAATACCCCACTTCTTCCACCCAAAGCTGTCCCTTGTCTTCAGAGCTCCAGCTCCAGCCCAGCTGTCTTTGGGATTAACCCTCCACACACAACTCTCTGTTGCAAGAGCTGGTACCTTGTAGGAGGAGAACACGCTTCTCACTCTTCATTTTGTGTTAAGGTAATTTTAGATTTAAGAGTCTGCATGGACCACAAGAATCCCAGCCTGGCTTGTGTTGGATGGGACCTTAAAGCTCATCCAGCTTCAACCCCCTGCCATGGGCAGGGGCACCTTCCACTAGAGCAGGTTGCTCAGAGTCCCATGCCCCAAGCCCCGTCCAGCCTGGTCTTGAACACTGCCAGGGATGGAGCATTTACCACGTTGCACCTCAGATGATGGCAGCAAGCTTTGAGAACCACTTCAACCACCAAAAAGAACTTAAATCCCGGACACGAACCTTCAACACCACTTATGCACTTCACTCTGTCTCGAACCTCCACGTTGTAGCCTTCGAAGGACATGAAGACCCCATCGGGGTGGTAAGGTGCTCGCTGTGTGTATACTTTGGAGTAGCTATGAGAGAATTCAAACCTGTCATAACCATCGTACTGAGCAATTTTCCCATAAACCTCAAAGTATTTCTCTACCCAGCTGAACGGCAGGAAGACCTCGTTGCCTTCCCTCCTCCCTTTAACGGTGTGCTCGTCATTGATCAGACAGTCTATCTCCTCGTACTTCAGCCCCGGGGCTTTGTTGAAGCCCCCCGCGATGGGGGGAGC